TCGCGCGTGACGGTGGTACCGTTTGGACAGCATTACGGTCGTGCGAATCGTCCTACACTTTTGAACGCCTCATCACAAAAGAACATTTGAGACAAAGAACAACTGACCATGCTTTTCTTGTAAACGTGCTAATTCTTCTTACCTCCATGCATCATCTCCTGCTTGATAGTCGTGGGAACCGTAGAGGGAGGCTAACGCGACTGCAGCTGCCAATATCCAAAGTGGTATAATGAAAAACTACAACATGTATAATCATTGTGGATCTCGCATAATGACACATAAACGCACTTTGTTCAACTTTGGTTTCTTCCCCAGTGATAGTATATAACCCGCAGCCATTCCTATCAAGAAAGGTGGACAGCGAGTCCAAGGCTTTTCGTAACTATCGGTAAAGAAATCCCAGAATTTTCTTAACAGTGAATGTAAATGCTCCAGTGCAGATATAATTCTTTCGCTCACTCAAAGGACGGGATTCCGAAGACGATAGCAGGCAAGGAGTTTTTGATGGTAATAGCGTACACATATCCAACACTTGCTGCGACACATACGAGCAGAAACAAAAGTCCTGAGGTAGCGATTTGCTCAGTACCGTGGTAATTATTAGACGCGATTTTTACCAAATATGGGAGAAACGAAGAGAGCTATGATGAACACTGGAGCTACAAAATAGAGCTGAGTGTCAACTGCAAGATACCAAGTTATAATATAACAAGTCTGAAAAGCTATTCATTATTTATTTTTTGACTTGGGGCTTTGGTAGTGTACCTCTGCAGCACTGAAAAAGTTGTTTATGTAAAGTGCATTGCGCCACCAATATTTTTTGCACATTTCTACTGATCCTGAGATGAAATCCATGTTTGCTTGAACCCATGGGCCATTGATGAAAGGGTCTAAGACTGCGTAGAATCCAACAAACATCATTATAGGAGGTGTAAGTCTAGAAAATAGATTACAACTAATTTAATTCAATAAAATGACATGACATCTTTTGGGAGAAACTCAGGCAAAAAAAAAGATTTGGGAAGTAACAAACGCACACTTAATCTACGCAGTTTTCAAAGTTGTGTTTGTAAACGCTTCACTCACACAGCACGCATATAAAAATTATCTAATAGTGGAAACGGTAATGAAAAATTTCGCGAAAGAGTCTTTAACCCCTGAAGTATAAACGTACAAAGCTCGAGGTCAGGGTCGGTCGGAAATGGAACTATGTAGAACAGTGTTTTCTAAACTGGCGAAAAAATAAGGCATGTTATATAAGCGTTCATAATGTGTCGCTCCAGAACATTGCAGCGAGATGAGTGGGCAGAAGTGAAAAGAAAACAAACAAGGTAGAGAAAATAAGAGCAAGAAGAAAACCGGCCGTTCAAATGATATTCACATATCCCTTACCAAAACGAAAAAAGTAGAGTGAAAATAAAGTAATTCGACCTTCGTAGAAATCACGCAGAAAAGAAAACAATGAGGTAGCTTTGATGTCAGCGTAACTTACTCGCAGCTTTTTATATGAAAACAATTAGAACTTAGGCGCTCAAAAACACGTACATTTCGGAAAATTCTATGCACTTTCCCATTTCCCATCTCGCACATGCAATACTTAACGTCTTGTTTGTAGTAACAGCAAGAGAATTGATTGTCTACACATGTTTGTTGTAACCAAATTTTTTATTTGGCTGCGCGAGACTATAGATGGGTCTGTCTTACTCAGGGCCGGCATAGCTGAAAAGGAACAAGATTAATTCTCTCTTTAGAAAAAAAGCAATGTGGTATCGTTCTTGCGGAATTTGCGAGAAGACACAATCATGCCGCCGGCATGTTTTATATCAAAACAAACAGAAACACTGCTTACAACCAAAAGCAACAGAAATGGCACTTTGGTGTGCGCAACTACATATTTATGAAAACCTGTATGGGAAGCCGGGCTCAACTTTGCCGATACAGCTAGAACCGTTTCATCTGAGCTGAAACCGAATCTTTGCTCAAGCAACTTTTCTTGATTTGCATTTATTGTACCTTGACCATAGAAGTACTTAT